ACTGTGAGAGCTCTTAATCATTAATCAGTACTAGTTGACTAGCGAGTTTACCTTATTCACAGATCATGAGGCTCTGAGATTCTTGAATAGTCATAACAAGTTCAATGGCAGACATACTTCTTGGGTTGAGTTCATGGCATCATTTCAATTTATGCTCAACAACAAGGCAGGGAGTCAGAATCAAGCAGTAGATGCCTTGGTCGTCGTCACTTATTAATCACCTCCATGTAGACTAAAATTGTGGGATTTGATGTGTGTAAGGAGTTGTACGAGAAAATTGAGGACTTCAGGAACATTTGGGATTAATGTAAGGAGAGACTACATAACAATATTACATATCTGATGGCTATTTGTCCCCAAAAACAGGTTATGTGTCCCCAGATGTTCATTAAAAGAGTCCATTTTACAGAGGAGTCACACTGGAAGATTAGCAAGACACTCGCACTTCTGAGGGAACAAGTTTTATGGCCTAGACTGACGAGAGCTGTGGAGAGATATGTCAAACATTGTTGAGTTTATCGTCTGGCAAAAACCAGAAGGGATAATATAAGGTTATACACACCATTACTAGTACCAATGACTCCAAGGATGGATGTTAGCATAAATTTCGTTGTGGGTATTCCATGGACACAACAGAATAAGGAATTGATGATGATAGGGGTTGATAGGTTCTAGAAGATGGCTCAATTCATACATTGTCATTGGACACTAAATGCTATCACATGTAGCTGATTTTTATTTCAAGAAGAAAGTGAGACTGCATGGATACCAAGGACCATTACTTCTGATGTAGATGTCAAGTTTCTAAGTCACTTTTGAAGGACCTTGAGGGGGAAGCTTGATATTGGGCTTCACTTCAGCTCAGCAGCCCACTCACAGACAGATGGTCAGATATAGGTGGTGAACAGAAGTCTGGGGAATCACTTGAGATGCTTTATAAGGAAGAACATCAAGAAGTGTGATATGATTATAGCCCAAGTTGAATTTTCTTACAGCAGATCCATGAGTCAGACTATAGGGCATACTCTCTTTGAGCTTGTGTATGGCCATAATCCACTTACCCCACTTGAGTTGGTACCACGTCTTCCTACTTCAGATGTTAATGAGGATGCTGAGGCTAAAGTGTGGGAGATTCAAAAGCTACAATAAGAGGTTGGGAAAGAGATAACCAAGCAGAACCACAAGTACCAGGTGAAAGTTAATAATACCAAGAAGAATGTAACTTTTCATAAGGGAGATCTAGTATGGATCAGATGGAAGAAAGAGAAATTTCCCGTAGACCTTTTGGGAAACTCAAACTCAAAGGTGAACCTTTCGGAATCCTCAAGTTGAATAACAACGCCTAAATTGTTCACTTACCGGAAGATTATAATAATTCTAGCACCTTCAACATCCTTGACTTTACTTCATACTATGAAGAGACAGAAGTTTCGAAGAATGAGATTGAAGCTCCCAAATATCGAGAGTGAAGAATTGTATGGTAGGGTATGTGAATTTCCCAAATTTTTATTACACCAAAAATGAATGAGGTACAGATACAAACAAATGCAGTATAAGTAAAGATATAAAAATGGCAAAGCAAATGGCATTGACTAGTATTAATAACAAAACATGCGACATTTAGGCAAAGGATATCTTCATCTAAATTATATTGTTGTTCAAGAGCTCTGAAGATGACACGTGGAACATTCCGTAAGTGCCACATGGCACAAGGTATTCATTATGAATTTGAATTGAAATTCTAATCTTTTTTAATTGACTTTTAATTAATTATGGCATTAACTGTCACGACCAAGCGCAGGGTCTGGAATTAACCAAGATGGGAACAAACAGTTGAACGATGTGAAATAAATTTTCCATGACCAATTAATATTTCACAGATGAAAGTAACACTAACCAAAAATAAATTAAAATAATATATTAAAATTTACCTCGTTATTGGTTGTTTACGTCTTCTATACACTTTTTATCTTTTATCGTTTATCTTTAGTCACTCAGTTAACCTGAGAAGTTAATTTAAAAATAACAGTGAGCTAAACAAGCAAGTGAATATTCATACTCCTAACAGCATTACATAAAAAAAAGCAAAATACATGTAAGTTAAACTTTTTAATAAATTCATATAAATATTTAACATGCTATCATTGAATCATAATATATCGATAGCGTATCAATTTCATTTTATATTTGTACAACCGTCACAAAAGCACGTCTAAAAATTATGTCAATTAAGACAATATTAATATCAATATTCTTTTTCATATACGTCCATGGGTACATTAGTGTTCCCCAACTATACCATCAATTGATGACTCCATATTCAATCATGCACAAACAATCAATCTATGTAAATCATATAATTCATAATTTCATATCACTCAACATGTGATATTATAATGCATTAAATATTTCATAATATGAAATTATAAGCATTCGCATCAAAATAATAGATAGAAGTTAATAATAAAAAAATCAATTTCATTAATCAAACATAAATAACAACCCATGAACTGATTTAGAAAAGATATCAAAATGATACTATAATTTAAGAATAGGATTACCTAATTGATAGACAATATGCTTGCACTTGACGCCGATCCTTCTAAAAATTGGAAATTTAACATGATATTTAAATTATCAAACTTTAATTAATTGATACTTTATTTAGTTATTAACTTTAAGTTATTATGTATAAAATTTCCATATTTTATTTTACGTAAACCCGCTTAATTTTCTATTCAATATTATATATGTATTAACAATTTTATTAATAAAATAAAATAAATAAACCTTACCTAAATCGACTGAACCTTAAACATGCGAAGTTCCACCCGCGCCCAAGCTCTTCCTTGCGCACAAGAGCTATCGCTGGTTCTTCCCACATGAGCTTTTCCTCTGATCAACGTTTTCTTCACTGCTCATGGAACCGTACCAACCCGTCACCTCTTCCTCCTTGGTGAGACAAAGACGTCGTCGTCTTCCTCCACTGCTTGACATAGATGCTACTTCCTCCTTTCTGCTTACGAGCACCGTGTCGTGGGCTTGTCTCGACCTAGTACACAAGCCAACAACCTCTTCGTCTCCTTTCCCTTGATGGCACGAGATTGAGTTCACTGTTCTACTCAACAGGTAAGCTAACCGCAACGTTTTATAGGCGAAATTCACCTCTTCGGCTTCCCGATCTCTTGTTTTCATTCCTCCCACTTTTTGTTACCTAGCTCCTATTTTCCTCTCCTCATCTTCAGTTTCTAAATGCTCGCACCATCTCCCCCACTATTTGACTCTTCATTTTCTCTTCTAACAGTCATTTTTCCCCCCAAGTAACAGAAACGGGACCCCACATTAAATACTTTATTTGAATTTTCATTTCCTAAAATAGGAGCAAACTTGAAGCCTCTCAACACTTAAAAATGTGCATATTCACAATAGCCTGCACACGATTTCACCATCACTAATTAGTTGCATCCATGCCATGCTGACATGCACGGTGATCGCTATAACCATTAGTGTCTTTAGTCATCCATGCCATAGTTTGCTTTTTACATTTATAACACCCAAATCTTTCATATCACATCAAAAATAGAACCATTTTAACTTTTAAAAAGTGAAACGAACCATTTTAACTCAAAAATAGAACCATTTTAACTTTTAAAAAGTGAAACACACCTTTTAAGCATAGCTAAGATGGTATGTATGTAATAATTGAAGTTTAGGTGATAGATATGTAAATGCATAGGAATTGATTGCTATGTACGTAAATCTTCCTAGTCTTTATTGCCCTTGGTGGAGACTGAATTTGATGTTAGCCTTTCTTTGCTGTCACTACATTATTGGCAACTTCCAATTTTGAAAGGCTGCGTAGACTCTAGAACTGTAGTATCGAGCAATTCTTTGTTCGATTAAAGCTTTTACATGACAACCCATTACACTGCAAGTCATAAACCCATTTTTGCAATTACCTAATCAAAGAAAAAAACTAATATACTTTACCTTTTATTGCAAAGGAGAGGGATATGACTTGCACTAAACCATATTAAAGTGAATGATCGTATCATCAAGCAGTAGGGTGAGGATAAGGGAAAATGAAGTAGATCATAAAGAAAAAGAGCAAGTGTGGGAATACCAAATTTTTGTATTCACTAGGGTGAGAATGGCAAAGATTATATCAAACTCATAAGCCCCAAAACCCAATTTGTCTGCACAATAGTCAAGGAGAAATTAATGACAGACTATTTCCAAAATATGTCCATACTCTACAAGAAAGTTAAAATCTCTTCTATAAAAGGCATCCTAAAATGATGTCCTAGACTGTCCAAGAGTCCCAGTCTAAACTACTTAAGAATCCTAGTGTCTGGCGCGGTCTGAAGCAACTACATAGCCCTTCAGCAGTGTCAATCACTCATTGATAAAAGAAAATAAATTTTGCAAGACAAAATCAAATAATCATTCTGATTTTCCCCACAAACCGAAGCATGAGTTTATTTTTCATGTTCATTCTTGCAAAAAAAATTGCATCCTGTGATGCTACTCTTGAATTTACATGTCAATGTTAAAGCATTAAATAATTCTTATAATTTTGGCACGTAGCCTTTGATTAAGAAGTACAAACCAATGACATGCATAATGAACAAGATAATAGAAGCAGGTAATAGTTTCATGTTACGAAGATTTGCCTTATTTATATGAAAAAAGATCCCAAAATAATCCCATGACTATTCACATGTGACCAATTTAATCTCAAAGTATCATATTTATCCAATTTAGACCCTTGACTTTGTATAATTGATCACACATGATCCTTCAAGTAAAATATGATGGAAAATACGAAACAAATTTGATCAAAATGGTCCATAAGGAATCAATTTTGCATAATCGAATTACTTCATTAGAGAAGTGTAATACTCTAGGACTGAAATGGACAAAAATGAATAGCTGGGGGATTATTTTGAAGCTTGACCCATTTATGCACGATGTAATATAAGCATTTAAAAATTGCATACCAACATAACTCAACATAAAATCAAAAGCTTTCCTAGTTTCTTCCAAGCCTTCAGACCCTCTCTTGTCATTTACTTTTCTGATGAAACGAATATAGCAACGCCTGCATAGAAAATACTAGCAAGTATCATCATCATCATAATAAAAATCATAGAAAAATTTAAAAAGAAAAAAAATACAAAAATGATTATCCTCTTATCAACAAAATGCCTTCTTAGGAAGTGAAAATAACAGGAACACCAACCAGCGCCCACTTATCACTCTCAAAAGATGAAAGGAGAATTTAAGTCATACAGAAGGCGCAATATGGACAAATTAATGGAATGAATAAATAAATACAGGATGACGGTTTGATATTTTATCATTTGATTGCTCAAAAGACTAACATACCCTCAATTGATGGAACTTTGGTTGTACTTGAATTTTAGGGGCTGGGTGGGTTAACTATCGACCATATAACTCATCAACGTACCAAAAAATACCTCTCCTACCAATACCATAAACACCCCTTGAGGGATAAGGTGGGTAAAGTAAGAATCCATGTTCTTTTTCTATAGCATTCTCCAAGGGACCCTTGTTGAGCTGATTTCAAGCTTCTGCGCCATTGAGTTGGTTAAGGAACTTGGGAGAAAAGGATCAAATTAGCCAAAAACTCTTTGTAGGGGATCATTTTAGTCCCATAGTCTACAAATGCGCTGATTTAGCCCCCGGGCTCTTTTAATATGGGCAAAAATAGTCCTCATGAAGATTATTTCTGCCCCAATTTAAAGAATAGACGACAAATTTGACACTATAGATTCTGAGACTGAAATGCACCAATGTAAATAGTCACGGGACTCTTTTGACATTTTACTCACTAACTTAGACATCAACGTCTCCTCCTTATGTGACTTGTGTTCAAGCCGGATTTGCATTTGTTGATTGCATGCAAAATAATCAGTTTAGCACATAGCAATAACATAGTCTCCAATAATGCAAGCCATCAATCGCCCTGCCACATGCCTTACATATTCTGTGCAAAAAATATTTATTTTTCATTGTTGCACATTTCCATCAAATGCTCTCTACGGTCTGTTAAGCCTTACAGAATCTATTGCTGCCTACGTGTTTTCAAAAATGCTATACAAAACTAATGATATATAGTTATGCTTCTCAAAGTAAATTAAAACATAAGTATACACACTTTTCTAGGCAAATATAACACTATATGGACCATGCATAAGTGATACTTCCTATTATAGTATCATCCTTGACCTCTCAAAAAGTGAGGGGTCAAGCTGTGAACATATTTGAAAGTCGAACGCAACATTTCGGCATTATAAGAGCAACTCCAAGCGATGTTGGCAAAATATGAATTGTCCTCAAGACTCCCAATTGTTTGAGACAACTCTGAGGGATCTAAGACCTATAGCATCAGAGCTCGGCAACAAAGGCGGTGCAACCTATCTTCACAGCAATTTCTTCTTGGGATCACTACTTCTAGGGCACATGAAGGTGAGAATATGGTGCTATTTGAAGGATCTCTCATCAAGGGAGCCTTGGAATTATTCGAACTTAACTATGAGTGTTCCCCATACATGCACATTTATTTCACTCGACGTCAACTTCCATGAGGTGTGCAATGATGTCTATCAAATATTCAAAGCACTCCTGATATGGACGAGGAAATTTGGAGCGAGGGTTGTAATATCTTAACACTAGTTAAAATAAGAGGCATGTTTATGTTCACTTAACATAATGAGTAAGCTTAAACTTAATTTAATAAGTTCCGTATTTAATAAAACATGCAAAAAATTTATCATTTTTCTTAATGTTCGTAAACTTGCTCAACTGATGTTTAATAAATAGCTTCTAAAAACCCAATAAAGAACTCTTTTAATGTTTGCCTATTCTCCATCAACTTATTTAATCGCTCATGTTATGTTATTATTTAAAACTTATATCAGCCACATATATTTTAAGTAGGTTAATTAATAAAAAAAAAATTATGATGGAAGCTCATAATAATCAAAACTTTATAATTTTATTTAACATAATCTTTTAATTAACATTTAAATCAAGAAAAAATATATATTGATTGAATTATGTTAATTTCAATAAATAATTATATATGTGTTTTTATTAGTAAAAAGATAATAAGTTTAAGCATTAACACCTTACATATATTTTATTGAACTCGTTTAAATCTCAATTAGATCTTGATTTTAATATAAATAAATAAATTATCTAGAACATTATTTTAATACTTACTTTATTTTCAGGTTCACTTGTGCTCAAAAATAATATAAACCAAAAGGATTGAACATAGAAGAACTCCACCGCACTAGACTTACCCTTGAAGCCATAATCTAATGTCCAACTAGCAACCGGAAGAGAAATAGTTATTAGGTGCAACATCAAATTTGGAAGCATTGTGGTAAACAATAAAGAAATTAAGATGATGCAAAAAAAGGTCGTGCAGTGAACAGGTATCCATTGTTTCATTGAAGACGGTTGTGTGGCACTGAGTAAAGCTTATTCAGTGACTTATATTTTGATGGGAGATAATAGAGCAATTCAAGCTATCTGATTATGCCATTGTAAAGTATTAGTTTGAACCATGTTTAGCTTTTTATTTTTATTGCCTACTACACTATTCATAGCAGGAGAGAGTTTATTACCTTGCATTGAATGACAATCCCTCGCACATGCAAAAAAATAATCTAGAAGTAGCTTATAAGAGATATATATATTTTTAGGGGGATTACCTAAAAGGGGAAAATCACAGGGTATAACACAAGTTGAAATGATTTGAACAGTGTGGGCCATAAGTTACAAATGATGATCCTCCCTACAACTGGAGAAAATATTAAGAGAATGTACTTGATATTGAAAGTGTGAAAAAACACAAGGGGGAAAGTTGTTGGATAGATAATTAAAGTGGGGGGAAAGATGTTGGTTGAAATCCCGCGTGAACGACAGAATAATAGAGAATAGGATGAGAAAAATGGCTAATTTCTGCTGTCAAACAGTAGTATCCAGCAAATTGGATGACAAAGGAGACCTCCAAATGTCTGAGAAAGATCACAACTTTGATCCTATCGGGCTATAGAAAAATTACATTAAAGAAATCTAAAAATACAACACTCCAATAGTGAAAATCGTCAGAAACATCACCAAATAACATAAACAATGTCTCCCAACAACAAAACCCACACATAAATAGTTGTATAATAGAAAATAACCTAATTAAAAGGAAAGAAATATGCTAAAATAAAAGAAAATCAGACGGCTTTGCAACCCCTCTGGAGGCTCGCAATCGGCGGGAACTATGACTTGTGGAATCCCACCTATAGCGTCCTGCATTATTCTCCACGAGTAGGAAGGACTTCATCTTCTTTAGATTGATCTATCACAAGCAGGACAAAATCATTGCTTTGCTATGCCTGAGGTAGTCCCACTGCAAAATCTATGCTCACGGTCATTTCAGGCAACTCTAAAACACATAAGTCCTTCCAATGTTCATCCAAAGTTGGAACTGCATATAGACAAGTATTCTCGTGAGCCAAGTTTAGCTTGTTTCTCCCACTTCTAGGGCTTGGATGGGCGCGTCTAATAAATCAGTTTGTATGGAAGAACTAACTCTGAAATAAAATTTGTGGCATTTTGGAGCACTATCGATCACGAAATCTAACGACTTCCTCAACAGGGGCTATATCTTTTCTGATATTGGCTCCTCGAACTCACTACCTTATAGAGCAATCAAGATTAATCATACTAGAGTCTCCTTCATGGGCTCAGTTTGAATCACTAGTGTTTTGTCTCATCATTCAGAGATTGAAACACCTCTCTAACATTTTCATTCTCTCTTATTTCACTGTCATTTTCTTCAATTGCTTCCTACTCTATAAAAGATGTCATCCTTATGTTTGAGGAATTAGACGCCACAACCAAAATTGCAACACTTGAAGTATTTACTGGAGGGGATGGATTTGGGAGTACTAACGGTCTCCAACTTGTCTCCATTTTGTATGGGTTCCTCCTTTGGTTGAGTTGGCTCAGGTGCTCCATTGGATGTACTCTTGGTGTTTGTTTCGATAGTTGAACTCTGGTTGAAAGATGGAGTGAACTTAATATTGTCTCTCCACCTTTGAGATTAGGTGTATACATCTTATAATGCCCAATAAGGATCGAACTGTACCATATTGCCAATGAATGATCTCAATCCCCTCACATATCAAGTTTTATTCTCCTAGGACTCCACTAGCTCACGCGTCAACATAAGCTACTTGAACTTGACTATGTACTCCTCTATTAAGAGATATTGTTGTAGCAAGTGATGAAGTCTGAAGAATATCTCATGTTGATAATGAAATGGTAGGTACTTACGCTGCAACTTTCATTTCATCTTGGACTAAGTAGTAATTTTGTTTTTCTCTTTCCACTATTGAAGATTCATCGGTTTCTCCCACCACAAGGAAATATTCCTCTTGAGCTTGATGTGTGCTAGTTTGACCCTCCTACTAGGTGAAATGTATTATAATTAAAGGTTTATTCCACAGTTTGGAGTCACTCGATGAATTTGTCCAAATCCACGCGACCGTCAAAATCCGGTAAATCTACATTTACTCCAAGAACTTGACTTCTCTAGTATTTTATGTCAACTTGTTGGGATATTAATTTTTCATAATTGGAAACTCCCTGGTGGAAGAGAGAATCACTTCTCCCAATCTGGCAGGTATCGTTGTGTTTATGGGTGATCTCACTGATATGTATCATCTCAAAATTTGTAAGCCTCTATTGCAGTCAGAAGATTTTCATTGCATATTTTCCATAATAAGCCCTTGAAAATCTCTTAGCAAATTTCTGCTAAGCTGCATTGTGTCTTTTTCTCTCGATCAAAGTTTCAATATGTGTAAGGTTAGGGATAGGACTTGTGGTAGGAATAATTTGATTATAGTGATTTTTAAAAAAAATTTGGATTTGGGCAAAAAAATCCCTAAAATGAAAGGTTTGTCAGGCTCAAAAATACTAGATGATATTGTTCTAGGGCTCCGAGAATGTGCGAAAGAACACTAGAATATGATAGGTAAGGAAAGTTGGAGGAAGGATGTTGATTCAAAT